CGAATCATTAATATTTCTTATTATTAGCATATAATCACAGAGTAGATTAAATCACTTATTGTAAACAATGAATTTCGAATGGACGCCGCCATCTTCTTATAGAGATACCATTAATATATACTGATTGATAAATGAGAAGATGGCCGCTACGGTTTTAAGTGATAAGTATATCTACCATGTTAAATTATTTTAAGAATGTCCACCCCTTGATATTATTCTCAAAAATGAATATTTATAAGCAAAGGATTTACACTTTTTGTACTTATATTTTAATATTGATAATATTTTCCAAGGTTCGACAAAAACAAAAAAATCGTTAGATTTAAATTTAAATTAAAAAAAAAAATGTATTTAACTCGCATGATAAGAAAAATACAAAGGAACACAGTTTGTATAAGGTATAAAAGGAGATGTGTGGCGAAGGGAGAAGTCTCCCTTTAGTCAATCCCGTTTGCTACTAAGTATAGCTTTGGTCAATCTTTTTAGCATTTCTTTTAATACATCGTTAGTTTTTTCCAGTAAATATGAATATCACAATATCGATTACCGCCTCTCTTCGGGAGGATTTGTACAAGGCCACAGAGCGCAAATAATTCCATACGGTTTTTCATAGACAAAAGCCTAATGGAAGGACGCTGATATGGTTGCCCAAGGTAAAGATATTAAAAAAAAAACTGCATTTGATTTTTTTTTTTGTTTAACTTCAATATTGTAAACCTTCATACCGACGTGTCAAAACTGAAACTACAATCGGCCCGAGTGTATTATCGTGTGTACATCGTGAGCCAATTTAAGGGGCGGATTTACCAACGTGAATCGTTTAGGAAAAATGATATCTGTGTGTAAAATACAAATTCGGTTCTCGAGTGCAACACACACACCACGGTAGTATTATGTGTGCCACAGCATACAACATTTTTTTTTTTTTTTTTAACCAGAAACAGCTCACAAGTCACAATATACTTTACAGACACGAAACGTGAACATGGCGAACCGGTTTTCTTTCTACTTCTTCTTCTTCACCACTCGGGGTCAATGTTAGTAACTGGACAAACGGTGTACAGAGTAATTTATTTCCTATCAGCTGCGCTGCACGACGAACAAAATTGCAATTTCGCACACTTAAAACACAAAACGAATTCACATAACAAACGCAATTATGGCCGTTTCCGCCGGTTTAGTTTACACAAACCAACTATATACTTTAATAAAGGCTAAACACAATCGATTATTTATGAAAGGTGATAAGTCACGATTTTGTTGAATATGCCATTTTCTAATAAATATAATATGTTCTGTGGCTATAGACGGATCTTTTGCTTTCAAGAGACATCAAATTCGTATTATAGTTTATTTTAAATATGTCGATTCGAACATTTGGTTAAATTAAATTGTCAAGTCGAGAAAAACGTTCCTATTAATGATTTATAATATATTTTTAATGTCATAATAAAATATATATTGGTAAATTGCTTTTGGTTTACACCACTATTTTATTGCATACAATCCTCCCGTTTATGATTTTGTAATTTATTTATGAAAGGAGTGAAGTAACTCATTTGTTAACGAAAAGGGTCTAATTCGTTCAATTAAGAATCTTACTTTTGTTAAAAAATAAATTTGAAAAATTGCTATTCACAAATTTAAATAAGTGCAGTGCATAAGAATTAAAAATACGTTTTCAAGTAAAATTGTATGTGAATAACAGTTATTTTCAATTTCCCAAAAGTTTTCACTTTTTCACTAAATCCCTTTCATAAAAATAATAGATTGAACAGTGCTCGATTAAGTAATACCGACCTACTATTAACCTACCGATAAGAACGGCCATTAAACGATTAAAAGTTCATCAGCTTTTTTTCAACTAAAATCATTTATTTTTAATTTTTCTAATTCATATTAGATAGAATTAATGCTTAGGAACAATTTTTTGTTACTTATAGTTTAAGAGGAAATTGAAGAAAATAAGCATTTATAAGATGTATCACAGACTGTTTTTCAAATTCAAATCATTATACCGCAAAGTATGAAATCCGATATACTTGTATATTATATATCAAAGCCAAGGGAAATATCTCTCTTCTCACAATTAGTGTAAAGCATTTTGTTTTTTATTTCCAATTCACAACAAGCTCTTAAAGTTATTGACAAATTTATTTACATTTAAGTTACCATTCTAGTTGATTTTTTAAAAAAAAGTATAAAAATGTACGGCCGAGACAAATTTTAATTCATTTTGGTGGAAAACAGAAGCATCCGGTCGATTAAAATGTTATCATGAGTTTAATGAGTTTTCACCAAATCATTAGAGCGCCAAAAAATGGTTTTCTATTTTAATTTTTAGAAAAATTAAAACACATCATAGTAAAAAACAATACCTTCCCGGATCGGCATCTAAATATTTTAACATCATAGTGTTTACCAATAAAACTGTCCACGCTGTTTTTCCAATGCAAATACAAACAAATTTACATTTCTATGTAAAATGAATTAATTTAGTTGTTAATCACTTTACCAACGACATGGCTATGACCATGACTGTCAACTATGACGACACGACATGACATGAATAATTATTCGCGTTTACGTCAATTCGATTTTTTGTTATCAATTGGTTTTTAATTTAACCTTAATTAGGTACATCATATACTGAAACTATACAACGAAAAAAGAAAATTATCCTACAGTCGTCCAGAGCAAGCGAGCTATATATGTCCCATAAATATGCATTAAACCAAACATGTTTTGTTATTTATATTACATGGTCTCATATAAATACACGTATCCGCGTTTTTTTTCGATTTTCTTTTAACCTTTAAAAAATATTAATGAAATCTGAAGCATACCAATTCGTGTAAGTACAAAAAAAAACAGAAAAGTGTACACATTTTTTTAACTGCTTAATTATAAAAATATGAGTAGAAAATCGGCAACCGGAATAAGAAATTATTAGGTTTATTGAAGAAAATATAATTTACACAGTTGTATACACTGAACACATTTTAATTAATATCATCTGAATCGACTGAATCGAATTATTATGGACACAGATTTTGCCAAAATAGGCGAAAAAATCCTAAAAATCCGGCTGGTTTTTTTTAGACAAAATTACTTTTAATTTTGTCTTTTGAAAGATTTTTGTTGTTAAATTTAAAACCGGTAAATGTCTTATGAGTTCTTGGGAATTGTAATACAAATTATCATTTCAAGTTGTACTGTGAATTGTAGTATATTCACTAATTAAATAGCTTGGCATCAAATCCAAACTAATAATTTTAACACATATTACAGCTAATATTCTCGGCGGAAAAGGCGAAAAAACCCATTTACTTATTTTTAAAATGTTGAATAGAACGAATTTCTAAGAGAATCCTACATAGAAATTCATACACAACAATAGTGAAAATAACACGAGTAATTAAAAAGTAATTTTCACTAGTTCACTGTTGACAAGATGAATCGTATATTTTATTCAAAAATGAATAAAAATAAAAAAATTGTTTGTATTCAACACAAAGGACAAAAAATGAAATGAATAGGCAAATTCTCGTCTTTTACCATAATTTATATTATAAAAAAAGTGTATTAAATTAAAAAAAAAAAAGTTAAATTTGTACCCACCTAAGCGTTTTATTGTTTTGAGCGAGTGTAAACAAATGGGGGAAACATATTATAATAATAATTTTTTTTTTATCTTACAATTAAATGTTTATAATTATAGTAAACGTTATTTTATCAAAACAAATGCATTTACGTTTTCACCATTTTTTTTTATTTTACAAATAAATTATAATTTTGAAATAACTATCCAAAAATGTCTTAAGAAAAATAATAGACTTACCGAATTTTAGCGAAATTTGTAAGTTAAGTTTCAGTTGTGGACTAGAAATTGTTACAACAAGATTAATTCTACAATTCGTTTATTTTGAAATTCAAACGTTATTTAAAGCAGAGCAGACACGACAAATTAAATTAAACTAATTCACTATTAACCTTTATCTAATATTAATCCTGTATTTTGTAAATTCTGCGGTAAACTCGCTTAAAGCACTTCTAGTACAATTTCTTACTGTCTAATTAATGTATTATTTACGAATGGTTATAAAATAATAGAATTTTATTTTGTGTTTTTGTTGTTTTTGTTTATAAAAACATATTTTGTTCCCCTCGCCAATATTTACAATAATCTTCTCTTGTGTTGTGCACCAATAGAGCCAAGTAGCGTTTGTTATCTCTCAAAAACTCATAAGCAATGGGATAGTTTCGCAACAGTGTTTTTAAATTTTATGTCAATTGGTAATTTTTTTTTTTCGTAGATTTTAACCAACAAAACAAGCCAAAAATAGACACGGTTTATAGCGAAACTATTAACGACACTGTAATAAAATAATCCGAAACACGATTTGCAACACGAAATGGAATATAAACATATTTTTATTTTTAGACAAAGGCCGATAATATTATTCAAGCGGCCGTTAAGTTTATATTTATTCATAACAATACATCTGTTTCTCATAAAAATCATCTATAGAAATCACTTATAGTACATTTTTTTTTTACTTAAGGTAGTTTTTAATCACTTACAATTAAATCGTTTTAGGAACTCGGCCGAGAAAATCAAATTAATTGGTCGGTTGAAAAACTGCCATCAAAATTGTAGGTAACCCGGTAAGTGGTAATAACAGAAAAAAAATTTGGTATAAATCGGTTGCCGGTTTGAACAACAACATTTGAATAATACAAATCCATTACAATTAATAAACGGTTAACCGAGGTTATTTTTTTAACATTTAATTATTATTGCTAGGAAAACCCAACGCCAACAAAAATTAACAGTATTATGTAAAATTGCAAAACGCGCGAGACGATTCGATTGAACATCCGTACGATAACGAATGTTGCGATAACAAGTTTTTTTTTATACAAATAGTATAATATTTAAAATATTATTATTATTATTATTATTGTAATTATCGTGATTCAATTTTGATTTCACTCACCAAAACTTCTCGACCGGTCGTCAACGAAACTTGTTGTAAAAAAAAAACCGTCACACACCGCACTCGATTGTGTAAGTATTGGGTATTTAGGTATAATAATATTTACTTTGTACCTATGCGTGCGTGCAGAACTATGATACTTTTTTGTTTTTTTTTTTTGAAACAAAACGGTTTAAAGGAAAAAATAAAAACAAAAATAAATTATCACACACAAACGGAGCGATTATTACAAACACACGCACACACGATTGATCGGACGCGACAACAAGACTAACCGGCTGCCGCGGCGCTCGACTGGGCAGAGTGGAATTTACAACGCGGCGGTGAAAAATGATAGCGGCCGCGATCCGCGCCAAGGACTTTGTATATCCAAAACCGCGCAGTGTAGCCAGCCGTGTGTTTATGTGTGTGTAACGCATTCCAAAGACCACTTAAGCACGTCGTCGCGATCGACTCTGGACGGCCGCCCGCGCTCAGTGGTTGAAATTCAAAAAACATTTGGTGAAAATTTATATTAAATCTTAGACTTCGAATTAAAACAAGAAGGAGGTTCTCTGTTCGACGTTGGGCGATGAAAGTATGTTCATCGACTTATAATGTTAACTTATAGGTCAAGCTCTAGTTATGGTACCGTACCGTATTATTATAGCTTTGTAGCTGGAATATGATTACAACAATAGTAATATGATTTTACTATGATGTGGGCTTTTGTGCCAGTATACACTGTAAAAAAATGTTTAATACTGGAACAATTATTTCAGGGGTAGATACAAGGGGAGTGGGGGGGACTAAATCGTATACATTATAAGTGTATATTCTTTTATTATAATATAATATATTAGAATATTATAGAATGTTTTACTATGTAAACGTTAACCTTATGACTATTGCTTACAATACATTTATTTCTAACACCTTTAAATTATACCCAACCCCCCCCCTTGATATAATGCATTATATGTACATTAATAATGTATAAACAACAATGCCTAAGTATCGCCAGGACGGTCGAGCAGTGTAAGGTCCATTCAAAGGGCGTGGGTTCTTGTCCCACTTCTGACAACCGACTTTTTGCATTTTTTTACAATTTCTTGCTGTTTTCTTATTGTACAATCATTTAGGTCTTAGATCTGCCTAAAATTTTATCTAGACAGCAGTACCCACAACACTGATATAATCCCACACACTCAAATGTAACCTTTATTTTACTATTGTGATGTATTTATTATGTTATTTTGTCTAAAATCCGCTGTGGACTAAATTACTTGTATTTGAAGCCTATAAATAAATAATAATTAATTAATTTGAAGAAAAAAAAACCATATGAAATTGAATAGACCTAAATAACGTAAAGAAAGAAAATTAATTATGTAGTTTTGGCCAAGTATTATTGATTTTGAACCAACGTCGATAAACATAATAACAGTATTCTAAAAACTAATATATTATTCAATAAAAAAAAAAAAAATAGACCGCCAAACGGACTTCAACGTCAGCAAGTCACTAATCATATTATTATTGTTTACAATAAATAACAAGAAACAATTTTGGAAACGAGAAGAATATTACAGCTTTGTTGTTGTATTTAAAATATTTAATAGCATTGTGCAACGGCCAGAATAATTGTGGAAGATTTCACAAATGAATCGTTTGTTATTTAGGAAATGTGATTTTTTGCCGAATTCGTTTATTTCGATAACGAATAAAAAAAACACGTTTAAAAGCAATTTATTCATTTAGTGTTTTTATTAGGTCGTGTAGCAACTCTATAGATCAGAAACCCTAAGTACCCGAAATGCCCTTGTTAGGTCGAACATTTTGAAAAGTCCCAAAAACCATACAAGTTTATCAACTGCGCTCTAAAATTTTTCAAAAAATAGTACTACCCGTAAACGGTGACACACAAAAAAACAAATATCGTAGAACCTTTCGACTAGGAGGGTGGAATAAAATTGGAGCCAGTAAATTAATTGACATGGTCGAAATTTATTAAAAACCTCTTTTTTTCTTAGATATTGCCTATACAAAACTCCTTAAACAACAGACCGTAAGCAAACCTCATAAGGAACCACTACACTAGCATTGTTGTATTAAGGCGCATTGTGTAGGCAACTTTTCATTAAAACTTAACTTTAAGCTAAAATTTATAAACCTACATATTACCACAGAAAAGAATGATCTGTTTTGACATTTTTTTTTCAATTTTTACAACGCATATAGGATCTATTTTTGTACAAAAACATATGTTTCTACTTCAAACAGGACTTACTTAAATATACTCAGATTTAAGTTTAAAAAAAACGTTTGAATTCTTCATAACATTTTCTTAAGGCATCGATCGTGCCACAATTTAAAAATAATTTCAATGGGAAAAACTGCAATACTTAACTATTTTAAACTGAAACAATTAATTTAAATAATTTTAAAATTATGCCACAACCAATGATTTGAAAATATTATGAAGAATTCAAATTTTTTTTTTTTTTCAAAACTTAAATTTGAGTATTCTTAGGAACAGCACGTTTGAAGCAGAATGTGTTGGTTTCGACCAAAATTCGCAGAAAAATTACATTTTAAACTTGTTTAATTTCTTGGATGCTTTCATTATATAATGTTAGTATCATATAATGGCCAACTGTGGGAATAAATTATTAAGGACATTTTTTTACTTTGTTTTATGAAAATACTTTATTTTTTTAATTTATTTTTTAAGTGTCTTTTATTACACACATTATTTAGTAAAATAGTTATTTTTATAAACTATTCTCAACTTAGAAAGGTAATGACACGCATGCGTTCATGTTGTTTTTATTTATTTAAATCATTTGTTTTGTCACACAATTTTTTTTTTATTGAAAAATATCCCCCCCCCCCAACCTAAAAGTTGCAAAAATGTACTATAACTATAAAGGAGCTACGGTATGTAATATAAATATTTTTTCTGTACAATGTACAGTATCTAATATTATTTAAGGAGTATATTCAGTAATAACCGACGTTGTGTATGGCTTGGCCGAATGGAATACGTCCGAAGAGACAGAAAAGATAACATACTATTTTATTATGTATGCTCTTGTCCCACAAAAATGAACTAATGCAAAACCTTGGTCGAATTCGGGTGCATATCAGTAGCCCTAATTAAATACAGAGGTCACTGAAATCACACTTACAAGCAAGTTTGATATCGGCATTGTCTTACAATGTGATACTTAGAAATGATACCATACCTCGTTTGAATGTTCTTGAACATCAACCCGATTCACAGTACAGGTCTTCGATTGGCCTTAAGTGCATTCAAGTCCAGTCCTACCTACAGTGTCCACAATATCAACGTTCACAGCCCAAGCAATGGGGCCATCTTGCAAGCTCTGAAAAATAATAAAAATCAAAATTGCAACAATAATTTGTGACTCACTCGGTGCGCAAATAAGTTAATCTTATACATAATCTGAAAACTTGCACAAAATAAAATGTATAAACTCCAAAAATTTGTAAAACTTACCTGTTGTTGTTGGTGCGACCCGACCTATCACTTGCCCCTCGTCGCGAAGAATTACAAAAAAGTCATTTATGTATAAGTCATTAATGCTAAATATAACCTTACACCAACCTGTTCTTGTATTTGTTTCCCGACACTGTACACCCTTCTCGCTTTGTCCCGTTCCGTCATCGTTGCCCTGGCTGGGAATGTACTGGATTTTTTTTTATTATTTTTAGCCTACCGGCCAATGAATATAATGTTAATGCAAAAAAGCTATGGTTTTCAGTAAAAAACCGGTTTACAAGCGGTACGCGAAACCCGTGTTTCGGCAGACCTTGACAACGATGATATTGGCAATACTAAAACATATACTTTTAGTGCAGATTTCGGTTCAGTCGCAAATAGCCGTCGCCAAGTAAGAAGCAAAGAAGTCTTCCCAGCAGACATGGAACTCAGTGGTCGTACCGACATAGCCCTGCGGGTGACAAACGCATACAAGTCGTTTAACGGCAAAACAAACATAATCAACGGGTTGAACATGACCGTACCCAAAGGATGTATGTACGTATATATATATACTTAAACTTAGTTTACTTTTTTTTGATAAATTTCCAAGTCAATTTCTACCTAAAACGGGTAACAAGGGCCTTTCGCAGCCAAACCAAGGGACTTTATTACACCAGGGGGCAGCGGGTCGGTTTAAACAAAGGTACCAGAGCCAAAACGTATGATACAACATTGTACTTGGACAGAAATAATAACCAGCAAGTGCCCTCCGACAAAACCTAAAGCCACTTATCTAGCACTTCCTATAGACCGTTTTGACTTACCTGTTTGATTAAAAATAACATTATATAGTATATTAATAAAGAGAACGTTTTTTTTTTAAAAAAAAGTCCCACGTCCGCCGCAGAGTCCTTGTTGGGTTCACTAAGCTGATATTGCGATTAATATTGTTTTTTTTTTTTTTTTTACATATTTAGTTTTATGCAAGCTGATTTTCATTTAAATACAAAAGTACAATCGATAACGGTTAATATGAAACGCATATTTGTTGGAATTAGTTTATGGAAGTACATTAATTGATCGAAATTAATTTTATGTTTTTATTTCTTTGATACATTTATTACCAAAATACAAATATTGCTTATGTTTCAGTTTATTAATAAAGAGAAAATATAGTATCAACGACCCCCTCCCCTCCCCCTTTATATATAATAAAGTCTCTTGGTAAGTATGAAAGTACTAGTGACTTGTGATGGGATGTACAAATGGGTAGAGTATATTATGCTTTAGAAGAGATTTTTGTTTTACTTCCTTATGCAATCCTTATGAAAACTTTAAAAAAAGTATACTTTTAATAGTAAACGATATTTGTATCACTCTAGTTTCTCGGTTTATCTTTACTTAAGATTTTACTGGACTTTTTGTTAATAAAAAGTTATTATACTAGTCAACATTATAACTGTACGCTCGTATCGATTCAGTTACTTGATGTACAAAAATAGCAGATCTATATTATCTATGATAATTATCTAATTATAGCAACGATGAGCCTTCAAGGTCTGCTATGATATACCAGTGTGGTACAATTAAGATAGCGCATATTATTTACTATTTATTTAATTTTTTTTTTTACTATTTATTTTCTAATTATAATCGAAGGCCTGACGGACCAAACCCCGAGGCAGAATCAACTCGGTAGCGGATTTTAACAAAGAAATAATTATCACTTAGCTGTATATTTTACAATTTTACCGTTTGCCATTCGGCCTGGATTTATTGCTTAGTTTCATAATAATAGCTGTTGTATAATTATTTCTCGCTCCCACTACATTACTAAATGTATACAAAAATAGAAGATCTACAATATTGTGATAACACAATATAATATTATATTTTACTAGTTATCCATGAAACTGTTTCCGGTTGTCCGTTATTCTTACTGTTGGATTAGGTAACCGAATAAAATATTATGTTTTACATTAGTCACTTTCTGAAGGGTCAATTTTTTGTTTTTGTTCTCAAACCGATTTTATAAGCGTTTGAGTTTTTGCTTATAGTATTTTTTTTTAAAATAAATCTATTTTAATTTTTTAATCGCTAAATCAAAAATCCACCTATTAGCTTGCATAGAAAAATTGTAAGCTTTACATAAAAAAAAAAAAAAAACTTCAAAATAGTTACAGTCTACTTAAAGCCTAACGGCTAAAATGATAAAACATGGAACGTCGTGCTCTGGTCTGCTGGTTGCTGAATAGTGATTATTTATGATCTATAATGTCCTTGCGGTTTATGATGATAGTGTAGTCTTAATTATATGTTCTAGGGGCCAAGGCTAAAGCATGTGTCATGCAAGTATCATAACTAGAAAAACTTAATAATAGTCGACATATTAAAAATGGCTACTAGACCAATTTGTATCACATGTTGCCTATTCTTTGCCCCTTAACATAATGGCGCTTTTCGTTCCCCTTAAAAATGGTAATTTTTCGTTGGATATTTGACCGTTTATATAGTGCAATCAACATCAATGGTGTTTATTTTTACATTAAATCAATAAAAATTGCAGAATTTAAATTGGACAATCCTATGTAGTAGACATTTTGTCTGGCTTTTTTTTGTCTAAAATAAACCAAAATGCCATATTTACTTATAGAAAAAATTATTTGTACTAAAATAATACCTTAATCATTTTACAAATTAACCGGTAAATTAATTTGACATGGTCGAAAATGATTGAAAACCCTATTTTTTCTTTAAATATTGCCTATACAAAACTCCTTACAAATAGACCCTTAAATAATATTTTAAACATTCTTTCAAAACACCTTTTTACCGTTTATAACGCATTTATTTTTCTTTACTATTAAGAGTGACTAGGTATTTTCAATAAGAGGAGGTTTGCTGAAAATAGGAAAAAACTAAAATTGTAACTCAATAATTAAATTTTTTTTTTTTTGAGATGGGGCTAAAATAATTTACCGTGAGAATTAACCCCTTTCTAGTCCTTTCTAGTTATATCTACATAATATGTGAAAAAATGTATTATTATAGTACTAACGCTCGTTAAAAAATGTTCTTTTGAACTTTACTATTTTTATGTTGGGTCGTTAAAGCTTTTAATTTAATTTGTTTGTTTTTATAAGATTTAGTATATTCTTTTTTGGTGGTTGGCCTAATTGCCTTGGTAATAATTTGAAAGGTCAACCACCTCTTTGGGCAAGACACTTTTTGAAGCATTCTAAGCGTTAGTTATGTATCTTCTATGCGTGATAAATCTTAAGACTTTTACATCTACGATCGACAATATACTGTATTCGTGGACAAAAGCTGCAAAATGTAGATAACTTTAACCCAATTATGAACCTCTTCGGCTTCGCATATTTGCATCGGTGTCAGAGTTAACGCTCTACGCAGTAATAATATATTTATTTTTTTAATATGATATGAAAATAATTGAAAAACTGGTTATTAAACTTCTATGTTCTTTTTTTTGACACATAAACAAATAAATCACGTTTTATAATCTTTGAATCATTTCAACTGTGTAATACAAAAATAAATAAGCACGCGTGAAATAATTAAACGACTAATTTTAGACTTCATTTCATATTTCTCGTTTGATGTATCTACTTCTTGTTATTCATAAATTATCTATGAATAGGCCCAGGATTTATATACAAAGTGATCATTTTATCGCGAAGGTGCGATCAGTGCAAAGCATAGCTATTGAATGATGATTGGAAATTATTTTTCTCAACTGTAGGTATACTTAGGAGTGCTGACTGTTTGATTTTGTATAGAAACTAAGAGTGTGTTTGTCCTTTTGAACTCGATTGAAGCTAAACGTTTGATCTGTACAAAAGCCGAGTCGGCTTTAAATTTGTTGCATAATACTATTGGGTTTCAGCTACGGTCTTCTGGGCCCTAGTGGTTGTGGAAAAACCACGTTACTGAATTCTATTATGGGAACACAAGTTTTGGATTCAGGAGTCATTGATGTACGAGTGGAGTCCATCACGGATATTGGATACATGCCCCAAGTAAGTCGATAAGCATGCATGTTTTCTATTAAACAAGTTGCTTGCAACAAAGGTGGATTGTCTCATAAGACTGTCTTCACCGGAGCTTCTACACACATGACCTGCCCATTCCAGTATTTTTTTCTTTTATTCTCCATTACTTTATCCGGTCTATTATAGAGGTCTCTTAGTTCTCTGTTATGTCTCTTTCGTCATTTCCCCCTTTTGCGGATCGAGGTATGGTCCATATATCATCTTTACGAAAACCCTCAACCTTAGCGTCTCAGTATTCCTTAAAGCCCTTCATCTTGACCCATAAATTACTACAGACGTAACGGGGCATAATTTCGCTTAATGCCCGTTTGGATTCTTTGGTTTATGGTGACTAGTCAACTTTGAGTAATAGCAAAAGTGATCACGGTCAAAATACTAAACGACCTGTTTAAAAGGAATCGAAATGTCTTGAACGTTGCCAAATGATAATGGAAACCTTTTGTTTGCAGGCTTTATGTTTAGACAAATATCTTACTGTGGACGAATCACTGATGTATTACGGAACGTTGTACAACATGTCGGAAGAAAATATTACAAAAAGATCGACTGAACTCTGTAGCGCATTTGATATTATAAACTTGAAGAAATCCTTTATTAAAAACTTAAGGTAAATAAAACCAAGAGAGTAGTGTGTATTCACCTGAATACATCCTGTTATCTACTCCCTACCTTCCTTATCACTGATAACACAGTGTTATCAGTGATAAGCCTCCATTTTCACTGATAACGAAGCTCATCAGTGATAAAGGTGTTGCGGGAGTTGATTACAGGAGGTACTCCGGCAAAACACACTACTAAAGAGTTGCAAGTACAATTCGTGTGCATATAATAATAATAATAATATTAATAGAACTTGTTAACCCAACTATGTGTCATAATATAAAATTATTTTTAATAGCGGAGGAGAGTGCCGGAGAGTTTCATTATCAATTTCATTGTTGCACGATCCAAAAATAATTGTATTAGACGAACCTACGGTCGGAATTGATCTCGTAATCAGTTTCAAGTAACAATTAGAGTTTAATAAATAACACAAATATATAATGCGAACATTTTATAGCTAGTATATTTCATTTTCAGTATTTGGAAATATTTTGTAAGTTTAGTAAAAAATCATAACAAAACAATTATCATAACGACCCATTATATTCAAGAGGCTACTCAAGCTGACACGGTGTGTATTTTATTTGTATAATATAATGTATAGATATTTGTATAAAATTATTTGCTTTATCGATAAAAAAAAACCTGTTATGGATTCTGTTTAATTGTCAAAAATGACCCTGAAATCTGCTTGTCCAATGGACAGTCGTTAAAAGTTAGAGCTCAACACTAGAATATACTCAAAACGTTTTTTTTTTTTATTTTATAGATTGGTTTAATGAGAAACGGCAGAATACTTGAAGAAACGTCACCTCAAAATCTGTTGATCCAACAAAATACAACTTCTCTGGAAACGGCGTTCTTGAAACTTTGCCAATCAAAAGAGGAAACAACAGTAAACGAAAACATACATTTAGACTTACATACATTTCAAAAACAATTATTTGAGAGGCTACAGTTTTGGTTTTCTTTTTTTTTTTAAGTGACTTAACTATTTTCTATTTGAATTTTGGTCAAAGTGTTATTTAACAAATGTAGACTATATACATTTAGTTTTAAATGAACATTTTGCCGAAAACTGTCCATTTCCAAACACAATAATAGTGTGTGTTTATACTTTATTGAAGAGAACAAAAACACATATTTATTGACAGTAATTGTTTTGTTTAGATTGAAGAAGTTCCGGATAACTCACATGAAACTCCAAAAGTGTCCAATTGGATTCAAGTAAACAACGGTAGTTATCTGACTTCACATCGTATCCGGGCGTTGTTGAGAAAAAATTGTTCGGTGGTCTCCAGAGATTTCTTGTAATTTTATTATCATCCACTACTATATTTTATAATCAGGAATATTAAACTCGATTGCATATCATCCAAAGGTATGCCTTTTTCATGATAATATTGCCGACAATTCAAATATTCAACTCGAATTTCACTATGGGCAATCGGATCGAACGAGTCGACATAGTCATTTCAAACGACGAAATGGACATCTCCAGATGTGCATCTGCTAATTTCGAAGGGTGTTTGTTCGACGATAGCTACAACGGCACTCTGAGTTGTGAAATGTTCAACTATTTGAAATCACTCAATTACGACGTTGTAAGTGTACGCCATTTCGATAAATTTCATACGCCAAAGGCCGTCTGCTCTGTAGACTTACGATTTGATATTCGGTGGCAGGTCGAAATCCACGACAACAATGACGAAGCATTCGAAACAGTGCACCAAGGTCGAGCCATTGCGTTTGTACGTTTCCCCCATAATTACACTAAAGAAATTCGACAACATGTTATTAGAAATGCCAGCTATGTGGACGACTCAAAGGCACTTGTGTATATGTACAATGGAAGTAAGTACATGCATGAAGTCGCGGATGAATTTTCATTTCACTTGTGCTAAATGCGACCTTTAACCCTTGACTCGGCGATGTATCTTTAGAGTTACACAAAACTGATATAATTATTCCAGTGATAATATAAATTATACATACGAACTGTTTCAATTTATGTTCTTTGCATTTTGTGGTTATTGTTAACAATTTACACGGCGGTTTTCCCGCCGTTTTATACATTTTGCTGTTATCGTTTATTTGTATTTCCTGACTGACAATCAACGCATTTCATTTGCAGTTTAAAAGCAAGCCAAACACTTATTTAGTTATTTTATAACGTTCATCGCATTTCAGTCTGGAGTTCGGATTGCATTTCCCTTATTGTATCCAAAAAGATACAATGCCCTAATACCTAGTAAAATACTTTTATATAAAACTTTTACTTTTATATATTTAATTTTATATAAAAAATAACAAATAATTAGTTAGTTTTTTATTTATCTTTTATTCTAATAGTTGTTTTATTACGGCAAATAAAATGCCTATTTTTTAAACGCAGATCCATTTTTAACACGACATTTTCTTTTTAAAAAATTTCCCAAAAACAATTTTTCTTAATTAATACAAATAACCAAACTTTTATACACAGTTCAAAGATTAATATATCTATTCTACGTAAACCGTGAACTAAATTACAGCTTATCGAAATTTGCAAACATTTTGTTCTAGATTATGTATTTAAAAATCAAATTTATAATGATATGCATAATGTTTTCAACCATGTTTTGGATAATGCAATGACTCGATGTTCGGCTAATAAAAGAGCTGTTAAAATACCTATGGTGAGATGATAAAAATTTTAAACATGATGTATAAATATAATATTGTTATCCTTAATTTTCATCACACTGAGAACTCCACAGTGTAGTATCACAACTTCCTGTTAATTGAATTTATTTTTATTTATTATTTACAGGATATAAAAAGAGAATTTGGTATTAAAGTTGAATCGTTAAGGAATACATTTATTGGATTTATCATAGTTATGTAAGTATATTTTATTCTCTTTTAGTAAGAAAAATAATAGTAGTTGGGCGCTGTTAAGAATAAAACTATTCAGCTTTACTATTTTCTAGCAATATAATATTAATAAAAAATATATATTTTCGAAAGTGGATCATCTATACAACAATAGTCAAATTTTATAGCTAGCATAAAGAAAAAAGTTTCTACTTCTTCTTGGGATTTTAGGGTTGAGCGTGTTATTAGAAGCTCTAATAAGAGAATGTGTTATGAATTATTTTTTAAAACTGTTTTATTATGCTAATACAATGATATTTTATTTTTAGATCTACATTCCACTTTGCTAGTGTGTGCTCAGCAAGTTTTATGCTAACGGAAAAACAAGATGGTCTACTTAGTAGAACAAAATTATCCGGTAAAATCTACCAAAAAAAAAAAAGAACTATAGCTGAAAAACGGTTTGCAACTAATAATGAAATTATAATGACAATTGTGCCGACTTTTTTTTATAGGGGTCACGATACTAGAAGTCATTGTAGCATTGGTAGTTACCCAGACAGTTGTTTATTTAGTTCAATTGGGCATAATGATGTTTGTGTCGTACTACGTTTTTCCAAACGCCATAGAGACACCGAGTAATATTTATTTAATGATTATAGTGCTAATATTCACTTTCTGGAATGGATTGCTATACGGTAAATAATACATGGATATTATTGTAATATAAAGCTGATGTACAATACAATCAATAATAGTATGTTAAGTAATTTGTTAATTGTAAAATTTGTATTTTCAAAAGTTTTGAGAGCAGAACTATTGATACTATAAAAACCTATCTCTTATCTCTAAAACTTATTTCTTATCACTTATATTTTGGCTCTTATCTCTTATCATTTATATCTTATTTCTTATCGCTTATATCTCATCTCTTTTCTCTAACTGAAAGTGAAAGTGTAACGCGAAAATGGCGACAAGAAATACCTTGTATCCATCCCAACGACGTATCCATGTTAAAATATCTAATGTAATGTAAAAGATTTATAAAATGGACCTTTTTATTTTCCCAACAGGTGTTATTGTCGCTGGATTATCTAGAAACAGTACTGAAGTTATGTTTTTGACGTTTGGATACGGTCTTTTAGCCGTAGTCATAGGAGGTAGATATATATATACATATTATATTGTTTACTAGCTATTTAATTTATAATTTTTTTGTTTATTATTATGTGTATTATAAGTTGAGATTACAGTGAACTAAATGACGAGAAAGAGCAATCAAAATGAATAAGGCGAGAAGCATAGTATGAAACACATTATTTTGATTTCTCTCGTCCATTTTATTGTTCTATAATCAAACTTATTAAATATTGTATGTTTATCGGGACATCTTATGCTAATGTAGCTAATATTTAGTGTTGCAATTTTTGGTAATAATTATTGTTATTTAGGTTTTTTGTGGCCAGTGGAAGCTCAACATCCGATAATGGGAGAAATCTCCTATAACCTACCGATGAGTGTGGCAGGAAGACTGATAAACAACTTCGCTAATAAAACGTTGTCGACATTTCATCTCGTCATGTTGACTGACTACGCAAAACTAATTGGCCATGTACTTCTTCACTCAGCTGGTATATACTGTTTGAAATTTGTGAAAACAAATACATGGTTTTTAGATAAATAATAATTTTATTGTAATATGATTTTTTTCTACTGGTTCTGTAAAAAAAAAACAAATTGTAATTTTGTAAGTATTATGTTTCGATTTTTAATTATTTACACGATATTGGTATATAAATATAATACTACAACAGAATATAACAGACACATTTGTTTTAAGTATGCGTTTCAACCGTTACTGGAGTTTGATTTGTAAAAAAAAAAAAAATTCAGCAAATAGTATAATATTAGCTTCAGCGTATTTCTGTTACTACCACGCGCTTAATGTTAACTTAGCTTTACGTTGATTTCTAAATAAATGCTGGTGTGGAGGAGTCCTCTTGAAAAATAACCCTAGTTGTTTTTTCTGCTTCACGTAAGAACATTGAATCATGGATATGACGTTATCTCTTATCATTAATATCTAATCATTTATCTCTTATCATTTGTCTCTTATTTCAAATCTCTTACACAGATATATATAATAAACTAGATTGCTAACTAGCGATAAGAATTGAAGCCGACGGTCCGCCATTCTGGTGGGATTTATGTGTGTTATCAATGCATATTATATCTGTATATATTATTATATCAATATTATATATATATATATATATATATATATATCTGTGATTGTTATAAACATATATTATTCTCGTGATAAGGTTCTAATTCCCACCAAGATGGCGGAAAGTGGCGAAGAAGAATCTTCTCCATTGGTGGCATGTACAGTTAGCAATCTAGTTTATTATATATATATATATATATCTGTGATCTCTTATCATTTATCTTATATCACTTATCTTTTGTATCTTATTTCTGATCTCTTATCACTTATCTTTAACTGAAAGTGCAAGTGTAACGCGAAAATGGCGACATGTGAAATGTCTTGTAGTATCCAGCCCAAAAACATTTCCATATTGGAAAACCCGCACAGTTCGGTGTGTACGGGCAAAACTTAATGGGGAGGGTAAATTTTTTTTAAAGGAAAAAAAAACAAACTCAAAAATCGAACGCTTCGTTGGCCTAAATCGGCGGCCGTTGGCCTGCTCGCGGTGGTGTCTGGTAGGTAACGAGGGACGACGCGACGACGGCAAGGGGTGACCGTGCCACCACGGCACGGTGGCGCATGGCCCGTGAGCGTCGTGCCGCCTCCGTCGCGTCGTTTCGCTATCGATGCGTCCCCGGGCCCGGCGCGTCCCACCATAGCCGCCGCCGCCGCCGTAACGCGTAGTAATCGCCGCCGATCGAGCGCGCCAAACGTACGACGTGCACCGACCGACGAGAGACGTGCCGCCGTCGCAGTTCCGCCGAACAGTGCCGCGAACACACCAAATAGGTATCGTCGCCGCTTATGTGTTGACCGTATTATAATAAACAGACAACGTCCGCGTATTTCGTTCGCGGGTGTTGTATGCGCCGTGTGCAGGTGTGTGTGCGGGTGTGCGTGCCGGACGACGGGCGAACATCTACCGGACGGAATAACCGTCAGTCGTCGGATTGATAAGCGATCCCGACGACGCCTTACCACGTAGCGGTCGATGATACGCAAAACAATAGGTAAAAAAAAAAATGCAATACACCCGACTCTATACACGGTGATCCATTTAACTCATGACACTCGGGTTTGTAAACCGTTTGTCCTTATAGATTTTTGAAACTTAAGAGGGCGTCACCCCCCCCCCCCTATTAATTGTTAAAGAGTTAGGTATAGGCAGTTTTGCAAAATCTTAATTTAAAGGGTAAACTGTGACGTGTAATTATTAGTTCAGGAATAAAAAGTCTGTTTTTTTTTTGGTAGTTTATTAATTTTTTGGACTATAACAGCAATTTATGCGATAATTGTTTTCATTTAAACATGTTTAAACAAGAAAACGGTACCTTTCAATGTGATTTTAGAGATAAAACACGTGAGATAAAAAAGGATACAGGACAAGATTTCCAACGAGAGATCCACGCATAAGTCAATATAAAAAATGGGGAAAACACTTTTTTTAAATCTTGATATTTTTGAAAAACGCATTTCAGGTTACTATTTGTAATCTTGTTCTCTATCTTTTTTTTTATTTCAGGTGTTTTATCGCTAAAATACCTCTGAAAGGTACTTTTATCGGGGTTTTTTTTTTGTAAACATGTTTCAACTTAATACCGTTAAACTAATTTTATTTGAATTAAGAATAATTTTTACAAAAACAATTTACCTGATCAATAACCGGTTTGGAATATAATTACACTTAGAGTAATGAAAATTAAAAATTTAATGCGACCAAAAGGCACATTTCACCTACCGTCTTAGATTTTAAACTTTAAGTGCCACTACTCAAAACTGGTGTTCGAACAGTCGACAGTTTTCAGCGAATCATTCTCAAGTTTAATAGCTAAATAATAAATGGATCATCCAGTATTCTGCAGTACTCAATCGCTTTACTAATCCAATAGACAACGAGCCAATATTTTCTGAATTATCAATGTTGACATTTTATTAAAGCTATAAAAAATTAGATACACAATTTCCAAAAAAATTAAATCTCTTGTTGTTTATTGGCTAACATGAATAATTTAACATCGAATTCGTTATACCTTCATAAAGTTAGCAGTACAACAAAATTTCGTTTTTCTCCAACAAACTACAGGTTTTTTTTAATAGCTTATTGGATTTGAGTCGTGCTAAAAATTAAATTTAAAAAATCTAAAAATAATACTAATTTACTAGTAACACACTCGCACGCTAGTGTCCGAGATAAACTTAACAGAGAATAGTCACAAATACAACAAATTGTTGCCATTGTATTCCGTTGAAATCTATAAGTTTTATTGGCAATGAAAAATTTACCAAAACGCATAAAATTTGCCGTTTAAGTGCGCACAACGCAAAACGTGTGTGCGGTTTTGCATATTTGGTATTTAAAAAAAAAAGTAAATGCATATGTTGTCACATCTCGGTTGAGCGATTAACATTGTTTCGCAAAATGTAAAAATACACCAGCTACTATTGTTTATACATTTTATACTTAGGAATTTCCTTGGCCATTGGCCGTTGGTAGTCACCGTGGTAGTGGTAACGGGTAATCCGAAACAATTTTTGTTTTGTCATTATAATATATAATGGGCAAAGCTTAGCAATTGACTTGATGTATGTTACTACGGTAATTATAGCTAATTTTTCCCCCACAGTAATCGTTTTAATAAATACTTTAATTGTCAATTATCAGGATAAACTGATACAACCGACTAGAAGAAAATACGCAACATTTGCTAAACAAAAAAAAAACAAAAAATCTTCAATATGACGTGCAAGTTGTTAGACAATATCGAAAATACACCATACAGGTGGAACTGAAATATTATAATATGGCAAGTAATTCAAGGTAAACGCGTGCAGATCGTTTGGGAAGTTTAAAAAAACAAAAAAGGAATCGGATCTAATCGGATGCGAATAACAATATTTCTTTTTTTTTTGTAGAATTTGTACGAAGCGGGAAAAAAATAAAATTATGTACGGAATAGAAATTAAAAAAAAAAAGAGTAATAGGAATTTGTGATGGCATTGAGAGGGTAGGTAGTGTATGTTTAAAAATAAACTCCAGATGAATTTATAAGGTAAATCAAATCTTTGTAAAGTTAAGCACCGAGTAATTGAAAAATATTGTACAAAACAAAAACGTTGTTTGCATTTGAACTATTTTTGCCATTCTGTTATCAAAATCCGTTAACCAACGGTAGTAAGATATTATGGTTAAATGTTTTTTGAAAAACCCGTTTGCCGTGTTCCACACGGCAGGTACACTGATATGGCATTTGGGAGGTTAAAATACAACGAATAATATTATTTATGTTAATTATCACTAGGGCTAAGAAAAAACGCGACCGATTAATTATTTCTTTTTTCCGACACACCCAAATGTGTTTATAATTTCTAGTTGAAACGGAAACCGCGATGACACCCGTTACTCAATGTAGGTTTTATAATAATTCAGTTCGGTAGTCCATTAGTCATAAGATTAATCGGTGTGACCTTATCTTACATTTTTCTATTAAAACCGCAGATTAGATAAAACCAGTCGGTCTAAGTGGTCAGTGGTGACAGTTAGTAAGCAAACTCATCGCCTCCTCGAATCAGAGTAACAACCGCTGGTATGGAGAATTGATCCGAATTTGATTGATTGAGATTTCAGTAAACGGTAACCAAGTGCACCGTCTGATTTTATCTAATCTGTACTGAAACGTTACATATTATCATTGTCAGTTATGCACATGAGTCATAAGCATTTTTACTAGTCGTTATTCGAGACCAGACTACAGAGAGTCTTACAGTCAAAGGTCATAAAAAGTTCAAACATCATACGTACAACAATTATAGGTTATTATGCAACATATTATTATGTAAATGACATTGACCACGGTTCAGCAGCTGTTCTAAAAGCTAACAGCTTGGTTGTGGCCACATGGCTTATCTGATGGTTTTTAATATGGCATAAAATCCGTCATCTCCTTTACATTTTATTGCCTTGGTGTACACTATCGCCCAACGAGGGAATTCAATATGGACAATTAGCTCTGTTACACCTCTTCACAAATCTGGCAAAAAAAACTAATATACAACATTTCAGATTAAATCCACGCTTTGTCAAGATTTCAAGCGGATGTTATGTTTTTTTGGTTATAACCAAGTGGCAATTAAAAGAAATCCCCTCTTGAGTCCTTTTTAGAGGTCATCTGCTCTTAGCAAACGTTGTTTCTTTAGTGTGTAACATGCTGAACCCATCGAGTCATTCTCGGTCATATAACATCCTGCATCGGTCCAAGATTGTCTCTCTGCACAATTAGCAAAATATACTCAGGCCTAGAGCTAATTGTGTCAAAATTCGAATCCAAATAGTCCTTCCTATACAGACATAGTGCAACGACAATCTTTGCTTTCACGAACACATTGAGATCATCAAGATCTCCAAAGGTCACACCAGAGATCTTTGGACTAATTAAACGTATCCTACCCTGCTCGATGGTTAGATCTATCCTAGAGAATGATTATGGATCCAGTCATTGCTCCAGACTCTGCTCTGCTAGGGAGTGGTTACAGCGTACATTTCTGGCAATCAGAATTGAGCTACCCAAACATGAATGCATTCTCAGTGCTTGACAGTCTAGAATGGGTTGCAAGATATGGCATTACTTTAGAAACTTCTATGTGACGGCTTAAATCGTCCTGAATTGCTGAATTGACTTGAATTTGAATCCGGATTCATTTCAATGGGTGAGTGGCTGAACTACTCCAGGAGGATTTTTGGCCTATCTAAATTAAAAATACCCTTTTTCAATAACACAATGTTGAATACAATCTGCATAGTTTGCTTGTGCTATAATATTGCTATGATTTATAAATAATACAACGTCATACAACGATAACAAATGTACCGACAAATCGGCCAATAATTCCTATTTTTAACAATAGACATTGCCATAGGCATTGTTGTATTCCTAATATAATTTCATTTAGGAATTGACAACAGTCAGATTATACAAATATTTTATTGTCTATGTTATTATCTATATAGGAGATTAGACGGTGAACTTAATGTAACCTTAGTTTTCCAAACACATAACTACAAAATAAATAACAAATTACTGTCGTAGATTAAAATATACGATGTAGATATTAATAGTATTTTTTGTTCCTTAATAGCCTTCACGTGGTGATATCCTGAAATACGTTATTTTAATCTATGCTGGTATGTTTGAAAAATAAACGAAGCAATTGGAATGCTTGGAACACTGTTGGATGTGTTAGGTACTATGACTTTTGATATAACTAAAAAAAAGTAATGTTATGATTATTTTTTCAAGCACTACAAATTCTATCCTAGAAAAGGGTGGAAACTTTTAAATTATTTAAAGGGTATTTTTTGGACATGACTATCAGTCCGTGTCATAAAAGATAACAGCTATTTAATGTATAATTAGAGTTATGTTAGGTTAGTGTAAAATAGATTTATATTATTGATTTTCGGATTAGAAAAAAAAAATTAACACTTCTATACTTCTATCAACTGCTGTGTAAACTCTTCTAGAGCTGTGCAAACAAAAAAATATATACATATGTAAACAAAACGAGTTTTATTTATAGGTGAACTCAAATAGTTTCCCACAAAATATTATAACGTTTCCATTTTGTAAACTTGTTCAGCAACAAAACGACTTGATTCCATACTTCCCCGAAGATCTCGTTCATCAAGTAGAATATCCTCAGACCAACCTAAATTAAAAGAGGGATACGTCCATAACAATATGGCAGTGTACATTTTTTTCTTACACAACATACTATTACTATCTTGCCAATAACAATGAAGTTGCAGTAATACAATAAGTAAAACAACGACAAAAAATAACAAACCAATACAAAATATACGAGAACACTACAAAGGTTAGGTCAGGTACTAAACGACCACTTTGAAAACATTCAAAGAAGAATAAAACATGTCTAAATCTATAGAGATACCTTCGTGGCATAAAACTCTAAGGCAGTCTCACGTTTAGAAACTTTTTCGTTAACATAATGAAGC